TGGTTTTCAGAAATATGCTGAAATAATTCCTGAATAGCCCGTGGGATTATGCCCTTTTCATCCTCTGCAACTGATGCTAAAATATAAGCAAAGACGTCACAGAAGCTTGCTGTCATTCTGCTGCATAAATTACAAAGACTGAAGATTGAGAGAAGTCTGTGAGATTTGCTACTCAATATACTAAGGAATCTGAAGAGCTCAGTATTCCCAAGGAGTTTTGTACATATTTGTTTTTCTGGGGTTCAGAATATTTGTTTGCATCCATTAATAGGATTCAAAGTTAAGTTCTAAATTGCATAATGTCACAAAGGTTTTGAAAAACATGGAGTCTGCTTTAAATCTATACTCCTCAGCGTATAGATTTCTTCTTTATTTTTAGTCATTATGGTTGGCGACGACATTGCAAGGGTTTGAGAAACTATAAATTCCACTTAAATACAGCAAAGACCATTATTAACCTGGTGAGACAAGATTTATGACCAACATTTACAGTAATTTCCTATTTTTTCAAAGCAGATATGGAACACTAATGCTAAACTCTGTTTGTACTTTTTTTAATATTCAGCATAGGATAATACTTCCATAAATAATTTGTGTTCTTTATTCAAGAATATGGGAACTAACTGTTTGTCTATGAGAGGATACCAAAAATCTTTTTTACCAGAAAAATAAAGGATTGCTCACACCTAACTATGAATTTAGTAAATATGAAACCAAAATTGTTTAGCTATAAACAGCCTAAGATTGTGACATCCGCTACCTAAAGAATTTGCCTGGCAATGGTACTTAGAAAAACATTAAATAACTACTACTAGAGGAAAGACAAGTGAAGTTATAACAGTAAACAGAATTAAGAGACGAATTGTATAAGGTCCCACAAGGCTCAGGGCCGGGTCCTGCACTTGGGTCACAACAACCCCATGCAACGCTACAGGCTTGGGGAGGAGTGGCTGGAGAGCTGCCCGGCAGAAAAGGAGCTGGGGGTGGTGGTCGACAGCCGCCTGAACATGAGCCAGCAGTGTGCCCAGGTGGCCAAGAAGGGCAATGGCATCCTGGCCTGTATCAGGAATAGTGTGGCCAGCAGGACCAGGGAGGTGATAATGCCCCTGTATTTGGCACCTCGAGTACTGTGTTCAGTTTTGGGCCCCTCACTACAAGAACATCGAGGTGCTGGAGCGTGTCCAGAGGAGGGCAACGAAGGTGGTGAAGGGTCTAGAGCACAAGTCTTATGAGGAGCGGCTGAGGGAGCTGGGGTTGTTTAGCCTGGAGGAAAGGAGGCTGAGGGGAGACCTTATTGCTCTCTACAACTCCCTGAAAGGAGGTTGTAGCAAGGTGGGGGTTGGTCTCTTCTCACAGGTAACAAGCGATAGGACAAGAGGAAACGGCCTCAAGTTGTGCCAGGGGAGGGTTAGATTGGATATTAGGAAAGATTCTGTCACTGAAAGGGTAGTCAGGCACTGGAACAGGCTGCCAGGGGAGTCCCCATCCCTGGAGGTATTTAAACGGTGTCTAGATGTGGTTCTTAGGGACATGGTTTAGTGGTGGACTTGGCAGTGCTAGGTTAACGGTTGGACTCGATAATCTTAAGGGTCTTTTCCAACCTAAGTGATTCTGCGATTCTAAATAAAAGGAAGATTTCAATACCTACCAAGAGATCTAGAATAATCTATTTATATCCATTTGGAAGACTTAAATCATAAATTTTTATGATGTCATAGAAATGTCTCTCTCAAAAAAAAGCAAAGAGTGAGCAAGCGAACAATTAATTGTCTAATGCAGACATTTTCAAGGTAAGGTAAATGTAACAAGAATCTCCAAAACACTGCATTTCAGGAAGAAATTCTAGTTTAAGTTGCATGTTAAAATGGGGAATGATAAAGAGCACTTTATACACTGTTTTTTTCTTAGATATTTTTGGTATAGCCTAATTTATGGAGAATTTGTTTTTAGAACAGTTTAATTAACATATAAACTTTGGAAGCATTTTTTTTACTATACCTTTTTTCATTAGCCCTTAAAAATTCTGCAGCATCATCTGCTATGTATTAAATATTTAACTTGCACAAATACATTGTTCACCAGCTTAAAAACAACTCGAACTTTATACAACCTACCGATGTGGCCACCTCCAATGGTGTAAGTCTTCCCAGAACCTGTCTGTCCATATGCAAACACTGTAGCATTGTATCCCTCAGTCAAAGACACTAGAAGAGGCTTAATGCAAACAGTGTAAACTTCTTCTTGGGTTGAGTTTTTGCCAAATACAAAATCAAAAGTGAAGACACGGTCTTTCCCAATGATAATTTGTTGTGTATTTGGGACTAATCTCACACACACTTGGTGGTTATGAAGTACTTCTTTGGAAAGCAGAGGTCTGATTCGAACTGCAACTTTAACTGGGATCTCCTCCATGCCAGACTCCATCCCTGTGCTCCCCACTCAGTATTCACATAGTCAACAAGAAATCGGTTACCACTCCTGTGTTCACCTCATTCGCAGTTGTCTGCAACTAAGAAAAAAAGTTTTCCACATTATATAATAAATAACAATAAATTTCCG